TTCTTTTGAAAGATTTACATCCCAGTCTACCCAGCCGCGACGGACTGCACGCGTCAGTAACAGACGCTGTGCAGAGTAATGAAAACGACAACAATCTGCTTTCGGGGTTCTCGAAGCGCACGTTCGCCTCCAGAACTTGTGGCAAGTCTCGAAACGTCCTCGCGTCACACTGCTTTCCTTGATATTTCAACGCCCCCTAGAACATTTTTCCCATACCAAGTTTGCGCCGCAGCCTACCGAACCGCAATGCAACCGACACGCGTCAGCAATACCCCACATTGTGCAACGCGTATTTGACTATAAACGCACCGAGAACTGAATACATCTGCCTTCTCTGGAATCATAATAGAATCTGGGCGATGTGGTTCCGGTGCCGTCAGGAATTCCTACATCGAAGTATTCTGTTGGAAGACCTCCGGCCGTATTGTACACTTCCGTAGGTATACCACCGTTGCGAGAGCAAATGAACACTACAAAGCGGACTTATTGGCATACAACAAAGATAACCGTAGAAAACTGTCAGGAAATCATTCTTACAGTAGGTTGGGCAACACTGTTGGAGTGTACCCATTGTGGTGCATTGATAGTTCGGATTATTACAACCATTATCGTTGCCTTGGCAATATACTGGTTCCTGCTTGACTCCTGTCGTTCGGTCGCGATACAGTGGAAGGCCTCGGTTGCAAGCTGAAATGGAGCGAATTCGCCACTATATTCAGAACTAATCGGTAAAAATTCGGCCAACAGGAGCCTAATATTTCGCCCAGAGCCTCTGATTGGTGGAACTCTTAGTTTCACCTCCAATGCAACACAAAACAGCTGTCCATTAGAGAACGGAAAATGAAACTCACTTTGTTTGCAGTATGATTCGCAATGGTCCTTTGTCTGGAAATTATTGGGCATTTCCTCCTCATACAATTGTAAGACTATAATTTGTTCGGCAAGTGAGCAGCAACTGATCTTAGACAACATACCGTAGCTTGTATATCAGCTCCAGTTTACCGATTCGAACGGTAACTTCATTATTTGCGGCGGAACCACGGCTGCATCCACCACTTGCCCGGCCAATCACTACTGTTACTACGATGGGACCACCTATGGATGCTGCCCCACACAAGGTGATTTTTCCCTAAAGATTTTATGGGTTACAGATGATTCCTGGAGGAGGTGGAAATTTCGAAACATGAAAATCGGGGAATTTAAGGGAAGGGGAGTAAGATCTTAGCTCAGGAAGGGAGGGCAGGTTTAGGCACGGGATCCCGTCAGGTATGCGCTCAAAGGGTTATTGGAGAGGATCGTGTTCAGGTAGGAGAACCGATAGGTAAATAGGGATGGTGGTACTGGCGCCGTATACAATCAAATCTCTGATCTCTTCTAAGGCTATTTTGCGAATCGATCGCTGGAATACCCATCGATGGGATGACCCATGCATATGACTTCCTTCTGAAATCAGGTAGGGACTAGCAGAACACGTGAGGGTCTCTGAACAGCTAACCAGGAGCCAGCTCATTTTAGGATCAATTTTTCTACCCATATGAGTCCAACTAGCCAGTTCAGCTGGGATGCAGTTGCAGGGATCGCACAGAGGAAAAGCGACGTTCTTTGTCTGTGCTCCTATTTCGTTTCTCCAGGACTCTGTAGGGATATTTCCGCAGTTTTGGTGGAAACAGCTCTTGGGAAAGAAAAAGTGTGGGGCGATAGCAAAATGTTCTTGGGCCCATACACCACCCGTTTCCTTTCGAAGAACCGCAGAAGGGGTCAATAGGGGAAAGGAATGGGAAACTACTTCTACTAGAACTCATCTTTTGAGTCTTGTCGAATCTTGATAGGCAAAACATTGATTTTTGGAAGCCTGCGGACTCCTAGATATGAGGAAGGACAATTTTCTTAGATCAAACATTTCTTTTTCCTCCGAAAATCAGAACACGGATTTGGGAACTAGGTCGCACAAATAATGGCAGTTATCTATTTGAGCACTATTAAATTCCGCTTCTTGCAGCGTACACCTGCTCCCTGTCCTACAAATCTGGTGCATCGTGTGGTCCAGCTGTCACCCGATGGTACTACGACTCGACCACAAGAACCTGCCAGACGTACTCGTTCAACGGATGTGATGGCAATTCGAATAACTTTGCCTACACAGCAGGATTGCAAAGATTACTGCCGTGTGGAGTCCTGCCCAGATGGAGGAGAGGTGGTGGGTGCTTTTCTAAACCAAGTTCCCAGGAAACGATTATGAGTTATGCTCAAGGGAGGAAGAAAAATGAACTGAGGGGCGTTACGACCTCGTCGAGGCAGGTCACTCCTTCTATGTCAGCAAGGATTAATCTGTTCTCTGTTGGGCTTGAGTTCTTTCTAAGGTCATGGCATATTCTGATCAGCATCATTCGCTCAATCGTCTTCGCGTGGAAGGACGTTGACGAGCGCAGGTCATGTTTGTCTACGTACGAAGCTTCGCCTCTCTGACCCGCAGCTAATCTGCGCTCTATTGACTAATCAGGAGAAGAGAGTGCGAGCGGATGTTTGTTCGTTTTTGTCGGTACCTTTCTGTACCTGGCTGATCTCATCTTGCAAGCTCAACGCTCATCGAAGTCTCAACGCCTTGGCGCCTTTGATATATCGCAGAACAAAATCCTTAGTATTCTTTTTTTCTGGGAAGGCTTGTATCAAAACGATTTTTTCAGGTGTGGAA